CCTGGGGACCGGTGACATGGAGGGAGGGGGGTCTCCCCGCGAGGGGGGGCAGGGGGCTCCATGTGCCCCCCCACTCCTGGAGCTGTGGCGCCAGGTGCCCCCCCCCAAGAAGCCGAAGAAAGCTGTGCTCTTCTTCGAGGTGGAGATCCTGGACGCCCGGACGCGGGAGAAGCTCTGCTTCCTCGATAAGGTACCTGTGGTGACACGTGTCCCCTCCCTTTTGTCCCTCTCTATGCCCCTGAGGGAGTCTGTGGGGGGCTGGGGAAAGGGGAAACCGAGGCAGGGCCCCTCAGCCCCCCACGGCCTCGCTCTCCCCGCAGGTGGAGCCTCACGCCACCATCGCCGACATCAAGAGTCTCTTCTCCAAGGCCCGTACGTGGGGACAAGGACGGGGACTGGGACCCTCTGCTGGGGACCCTCTGTGGGGAGGGGGTGTCCTCAGCATGGCTGGGGACCTGTCACGGGGCCATGGGGTGGTGGGGACCCTTATTGTGGCCAAGGACCTGTCGTGGGGCCATTGTGACCAAGGCTCTGTGGACCCCCAGCTCAGGGTGGTGGAGAACCTGGTCACAGCCAGGGACCTGTTGCGGGGCCATCGTGGTCTCCGTTGTGACCAGAGACACAACGTGGCACTTTGGGGACCCTTATTGTGACCATAAACCTTTCATGGGGTCATGGGGACCCCTGTCACAGCGTGATGGGGACCTTTGTCCTGCCCAGGGACCTGTCACCATTGTGACCAGAGACCTGTCACAGGGCCTTGGAAACCCTCACCAATAATTAGGAGCTGTCATGGGGTGGTGGAGACCCATGTGGATAGTAGACCCTTCATGGGGACATTGTGGTCCCCATTGTCACCTGGGATTTGTTGCAGGGACATGGGGACCCCCATCATGTGACCTGTCACAGGGCCATCATGGTCCCCATTGTCACCAGCAACATGTCACAGGACCCTGAGGACCCATCACATCTGGGGACACCTCAGGAGGACCCCATATCACTGGGGCCCCCTGGCCCCCTTGGTGACAGGGTCTCTGTCCTGGTGCCCCTGGTGCTGTCCCCACCTGTCCCTCCTGTCCCACAGATCCCCAGTGGTACCCGGCCAGACAGTCCCTGCGCCTGGACCCCAGTGAGTGTCACCACGGGGGGTGCCTGGGGTGACCCGGGGTGACCCTGGTGGCCCTGGTGACCCTGGTGGCCGGGCTGTCCCCTCAGAGGGCCGCTCGCTGAAGGACGAGGACGTTCTGCAGACCCTGCCTGTGGGCACCACTGCCACCCTCTACTTCAGGGACCTGGGCGCCCAGATCAGCTGGGTCACCGTGAGAGCCTGTGTCCCCCGTCCCTGTGTCCCCCTGTCCCTGTGTCCCCCGTCCCTGTGTCCCCCTGTCCCTG